GTAGTAGTAGTAGTAGCAGCTGTTGTCGCCCTTGTCGTTCTCATCGTCGTCGTGGCCATCGTAGCAATAGACAGAAACAGGAATGGTAGAGGTGTAGCAATGCAAAGAGTCACACTTATGACAATTTTGGTTCTGGCCAAGCAATTCCCATCCTCGTTCGCCGCTGCTGGCTCTACTCATTTAGACCGATTCAAGGTTGTCATGAGCGCAAGGAGACAAGACTAGGCCGTGACAGTTGATGTGATCTCATATTAGACGATTCCGATGCTGAGTGTGGCTCTTGATGCGATTGTGCTTCTCGGCTCCTGGCTTCGGCTAGCCGGCCGTCTTCGGCAGCGCGCAAGAGGGAGGCAGCGGCCTGCAAACTGGAACTAGTAACTACGCTCAAGGTCCGGGTGATATTGCTTTGATCAACCATTCCGCTTGTGCGTACAGTTTGCTTCCTATTCCATCTTGGCATTGTTGACTCTTACGTCCATCTCGCTGCGATTGTCGTGGCTGCTGTTCTTGTCCGTTGCTACACTGGCAACGCTGGGATTTGCTGCCAACTGTTCATGTAATGATTCGCTATTCGCTTTTGCTGTTGTGTTAGCGTCTGCCGGGGGTCGCGGCGACGTGTTCCAGCATCGATCTCTTGTCACCCTGTTGGTGCTGTTCTGAAGTCAGCACAGCACTCGCGAGAGCACGTCAGAACATTCTCAGAATTGCTGTTGTCATCAGGAAGCACCGTGCAATGCAATGCTCGCTGGCCTTGATGCGGATGTGTTCAATGTCCGCCTTGCTGCCCTGACGAGCAAATCACTGTTCCCGACCCAGGAAAGCCCCGAGACTCTAGAGACTCTAGAAAAGTGACATTCATGCTATTGGTTGGGGAACTGGCCGGTCTAGCAGGTGCAACGGGTCGGCATCCCCGCGCACCAGTCTTTGATCTGCTTTCGAAAGAGAGGGCGAGCGCCGTTTTCCTTCGAAAACTCGTCTGCTGCCCTTACTGTCCAGCTTGACCCACAAGACAAAACTCATGACCGTGATGCGAACGCCGTACAGGCTCAGTTTCACCGGCTGCTCAGCAGGATCCGGCAGGAAAAAGCATCAAAGATGCAAAAGCCACGCGACGCTGAGCAAGAGGACCACTGCGCTCGCCATGGTACCTGTGCTTGACATGGACTGGTCCGTGCTCGTTGAGTTACCCACGGGAGCCGTATCAATATTCGTGCCATCCAAGAGAGGCTGGACCAAAGTGAAGGCGGCATTGTCAACAGCAAACTCCGAGGAGTCGAGAATCGGAAACGCCCCGATCATGTAGCCTTCAGGGGCCGCCATGCCCGATTTGGTGACAACGACATACCGAAAGCAACCCTCTTATGCAATTCGCCTAGGACATAAATCAGTCTAGAAAGCCTTCAGGAGCGCTTGTCCCAGCGTTGCAGCCGGTAGCCAGTGCGACAGGCTTTCCGGCATCATCCACCACCAAGTTCGGCCGCTCACATGACTCAAACTTTGCAAATGTGCCATCGGTGAAAGAAACGGTCTGGACATTGGCATCTCCAGTGTGCGTCCACTTGCCGAAGAAGTCAGTACTCCAAGCATGAGACGTCAAGTCTCTCTCCGAGACCATGTAGTGGAAGATTGCATGAAAGACTCCCTGCGAGTCCTTCCATCCGAAAGGATCCTCAATCCCTTTGGTTACAAAGAGCTCATTAGCACCCCACTCTGCTGGTCCAGTGCTTTCATCAGCAAAGATATTCCTGGTCTGGAAAGTGTACTTCGATTTGCAGTCCTGTGCACTGCTGCATTTCCAGTGTGTTGCACTGGCTGTGTGGATCACTGAGCAGAAAGTACCACCTCCTTCCGCCGGGCAATCTTGCCAGGACCGCCACATTGCCAGCAGGCTCCCGTTCGCTTGAATCTCAACCGGTGCGAAGTTGGTATCGATAGTGTCGCCTGCAAATGTTGCATCTTGAAATCCTGTGGCTGAAGTTTCATCACGAGGATCTATGATCATGACCGGCTTGGACCAGGACGCATCGTCCCCTGGAGTAGTCGTCCAACTCATCCATGTCGGATCCGAGGAGGCCGTGTTCACGCACGAGCCGAAAAGGGGAGCTACAGCTCCGTCAACTGCTGTTGCACCGGTGCTGCAATCACAAAGAAATTCGGTCTCAGTAGTGTAGCCATGATTTGACGAGAAGCCGCCGGTTCCCTCAGATCCCACATCTGTGACGCCATCATAGATGCCGGTGAAGTACATCACTGTCTCCCCGGTCGGTGCCTTAATGACTTTGGGCTCGTGGCACATGGGACCAAAGACCACGCCTGTCTTCGTATACGGGCCCTCCGGACTCGTAGCTTCTGTATGAATGCACCTCGAGTTGGTGCCCCAGGTGTTCATACCACACTTCTTGGCATTCTCTGAGACCCACATGTGGTATTTCCCGCTGTCTTGGAGCACTGCACCGCCCCAACTGGTGAAGCCATCTGGGATAGGCATGTAGCCCCACTTGGTCTTATCCACCGGAGCCACATCAATCACCGAACACGCAGTGCCCGTCCAACCGGCGGTGCACACGCATGCGCCCGAGACGCAGGCGCCGTTGTGAGAGCAGTCAGATGCAGTGGAGCACGCACCACAAAGAGCCACGAAAGCTGCGCACAGTGTCAGCACGGGAAAAACATGGCCAGACATGTCCCGAAGGGAAGGCGGTACGGCTGCTGAGTCAGCGCCGCGTGAAAATCTGTGGGCTGCTCAAGCACCTGAGCCTAAGCAAATCCGCACAGCAAACTTCGACACATACCCCCAACAAACCCAGCCACTCAAGGATTCCAGGACAATCCATCAAACATCGCTGCGACGACATCGTGGTAGCCCCTGGCCCTCAACCGTGGATTCTCCCTCTCCTCCGTCGTTACCCCTGAAAACTAAAGACGATATTCAAAGAGCCAAGGCACGAAGCCTTGGAAACCAAAACTTGCCAGGCCAGGAGACCCAAACGAAAACACATCCGCAGCAGAAATCCGAAACACTTACCGTATCTCTCCGCTCTTGAAGCACAATGCGCCCAGGAAGTTGCAAAGATGGCACCTGTTGGGATGGCATCGTCACAGCACCCAGGGCCGACTCCAATCTCCCATCCTGGAGCCCTAAAGCCTAACCCCTAAATGGGAGTTTCAGAAAATTTGGGGTACCTTACTTTGGGGTCCTTGTAATAGGGATCCTATTATTTAGGGTACTATATTGGGTCCCCTATTTTCGGAAACCCCTAAATGGGTTTGATCTCGCGACTCTTAAGTGGGTTTCGAGTTTTTGCCTCCTACGCCGCAACAGGGCGTAAGGGTTTCGACTCGAAGGTAAAAGCTTTCAGAGGATCGGGCATGAAGGAGGTTCCCAGCAAAGCTGTACCAAAAAAATGCATTCATTTGTATGTATAATCGTCTTATATTTACAAGAACTTCTTATATTCAATTTAAATGCATACATATATGTATGCATACATAAATTTATATATAACCATTCTGCTTATATGCCTCCATGCTTTCACGGTGTTTACACGTGCCGGTATCTGAATCCTAGAACACTAGTGCTTAGTATAGGTTATGTTCACGGCTACTAACAAAGGGACGCCTACCTCAGCCCAATACTCGTGCTAAGTACTGTCCTGCTACAAACACAACTGCCTAACGTCCCTTTAGCGACACAAAACCCGAATACTAGTGACTAGTGCTAAGTACTGCCGAAACTTTCTTTAGTAAACAACTCTGAAAACCCGAACTCTAATGTTGGTTATTGCCTATGCTTCCTCTACTAACATCTGCTGAGTATTGTTTGCGATCCCCTTTTGCTCATACCCAACCACAAGTCCATCAGTTCTAGGACACGCTTCCGGCTACACCTCCGGAACTCTTCTCTGAAAGCACTTCGGACATCAGCATGTTCGATACAGCACAGACACAAGTCACGCGAATGTCGCCACTGCCCACGGTTCTTGGCCGCGTGCTCCACTTGACCGTCATTGTTGCCCCCCCGGAAAAGCAATAACCCGGACGTACTAAGCAACCGCAACATGGCGACGCCGCGATGCCTTCCACGGGCTACGACAGTAACTTGAGGATATCGTCCATCAGCCCCCAGAAGCACTCACGCGACTAGATCGATTGCGAGGCGTGGTCGTGAAAACCAACGTGCTGTTTAACATCAGCCACATAGGCCTTGGAGTGCCGGTCTGAATGGGAGCGGCAATCAACCTCGTAGATCATCTCCTGCAGTATTCACCGCCTGCCCCCAACATTTCTCAACATTGCATCCTGCGAGCATGTACCATGGCACCGGCATTGAAGTGGCTAGTACCGGTACCAGCTTAGAAAGATCCGTGGTATGTCGAAAACAGTCCCGGTGAGCTCGGCAGCGGATGCAGTGTAGAAGGCATCTGTGTTTCCGGTACAGGGCTGAACCATGCGCTTCCAACTGGTACCTCTTAGTTCCAGTCGTAGGCACAAGGGGTAGTCGATCATGAATACTGAGGGCACCGGTCGGGCGACCTGGGTGGCTTCCATGATCTGACTGTCTGTGTTCTCCTCCTCAGTGTCCTCGAGGGCGAGATGGGAATCCGCGATGGCTTGGGGCAATGCCTTGGCGATCTGCACGGGCTTCGTGAGTTTGTTGAGGACGAGCTAGTTAGCCGCCTCCAAGCTCCAACCGCCGTAACCATCTTCAGTTCCCTCGGCACGTTGTTGGGCATTGTGCGGAAATTTCGGGTGCAACTGTGCCTCTAGCTTTTCGATGGCGGTCAACATTACCGTGTCGTCTGTGCCGTTGCCCCTTGGTGGGGTCAAGTTGGTCACGGATGGTTGCAAATGTATTCGACTGGAGTCAGTCGTACCAACCGCTTATGGCAATCACGGGCTCGCCAAGGATTAATGACTAGAGATGTAGCCTTAAGTACTAAGCGCTGTGGCAAATCACAAACATCAGGCTTTCAACAGCACTTTATCACCCTGCCGTCATACGCATGTGGAGGTTAGCGGCAGAATGGAAGACGCGGATGTGAAGACTGGCTCAATGGAAGGCGTTTGGTTTCTGCAGCGGGTGCTGCACGGTAGCTGTTATTGGGCTCACTGTTGTCACACTGATAAGAACAGATACTCGCACACAGAAGATCAAGAGCGCACTGCTCTTCCCTTTTGTAAGCTCACTGAGAGCTTCCGCTATGGCTCAGACGAGTCAGCCTAAAAGAAGGGCCCTTCAGGCTCGTGCCTAGAAGCAACATGCAAGCAAGCATGAACATCTGAACATGACTGTTGCACCACCCAACAAAGGAAGTCAGATGTTCTGTCTCAAATGGGAATCTACATCGGCGATGGCAGATTTGCCCATCCGCTTGCTCTTCTTCGAAGAGGTAAATGACGGGTCGAACTTTATGCTCCATAGCCCAGTACGCAAGTACTTGAGAAGGCCAAAGCGGCTGTCGGCGCGTTTTTTAGTCAAGGCGTCGGCCAAGTCATAGTCGCTTGCCAGCCAGCGTAGGATGCATCCAGCTCGACGAAGGTTGTCCCTTAACTGAAAAGCCTGAAGAGCGGCTCGCATATTTGAGAGCCCAAGCAGTGGTGACTCATTCACCTCGATGGCGTCATAGCCTCCACGTGAGTCCGTGCAGACAATGCCCTTGATCGCCAAAGCCTGGTTCTCGACTTGTTCCACTAGATCATGTCGAAGCTCTCGTCCTTGTAGTCCGCCGGCTCCGTGTAGTTCACTCCACAGAAGTCGTAGTCGAAAGTTGTTGTCCTCAGCTTCGAGGACGGCTTGAATCTCCGCGTCGTTGGAGCCAATGGCTCGCCTCTTCAACTTCCATGATCGCCAGGAAAGCATGATCATCGGACTGATGGCTCCATTGATGCAGGATGGTCCTGCCGCTAAGGTGATCAGACCACCCGTCGATTCTCCTTTGGGGCGATTGCCATGTGCTTGATCACCCATGGAGACGAAGACCATGTCCGACCAATGCTTCACATCCTTGAGCTTCCTGAAGTGAAGCCGAAATGGCTCTTGACGCACTTCTCCAATCATAGCCTGGATCTCGCGGGCGGTTTCGAGGTCGTTGTTTGTGACGAGCTCTGTAAGCAGTAGATTATACCTCGAGCACAGTTGAGGTTGCGTCTGAATTGCCAGCCATTGCAGTGCTCCCAGGGATGTTCTGCAGGCCTCGAACTCGCTCTTGGACATCTGGCCCTTGTCGACGATGCGGTCCGGGGCAATGTTGATGTCCTGTAGGCCCTCGACGTAGTAGTCCTGGTCCACGGTCACCTGGATGTTGCCGTCGTGGTCCTTGGTCGTAACCACGTCGGTTCCGGCATGTCTGTAGGATCCGGTCTTCGCCGTTCCCCACTTGTAGGCAGCGTCCACCTGAGCTTTCACCGCCTTCCATTCCTCGGAATCACCATTTCCAAGCCGATGAAAGTCGTCGACGTGACCACCCATAGCACCAATGACTCGTGGAAGTCCTCGGCCCAGCTCATGTTTGGACTTCCATATCCATAAGCATCTCTCACCAAGAACAGGAATTCCTCCCAGCTTGGTCAGCGTCTTGTGAAGGTCCAGCCATAGGCCTCTGGGTGCCGTGGTACTTCCGTAGATGTTCTTGAGGATTCGCATGAGTCCGGGGCCGTCGATGCCTAGGGCTTGTCGTAGCTCTTCAACTCCTCTTGTCCACATGTTCTTGTCCGCCTCGGTCGGCTGTGTTTGCAGGAACGCTGTCGCCAAATCTAACCCTTCCAACGGCCATTGATGTTGGGCGCTCATGAGGTAGAGGAGGTTCCTTCCCATCAATGACTGAACGGGAGAGGCTGTCTTGAAGGAAGAGTCTAGTAAACTCGGATGCTGGTATCCAAGTAACACAATCCTCGCCTTTGCTTTCTTCTTCCCGTCCTTGGAGTGCATGGTGTTCGGGTTCTCGGCAGCGTCCTTTGCAGCCTCGGACTGTTCCTCGGTGGGGACCAGCTTCCAAGTCAGGACCCATCTGGCCTTAATGATGCGTCCGGAGCTGTAGGCCTCCTTAACTTCTTTATGATCAAGGCAAGCTCTAACTGCTTCGTTCTTGATGAAGGAGTCAACTTCCTTAGACTTGGCTCTTGAAAACAGCCTGCGCTCCGCCTCACTGAGTTTGGACAAGGTCACCTCACAGTCGCGCATCTTCTTGGTCATGTACAGCACGGGGTCCCGGGCTAGTTGTTTCTTTTGACGATTTGACAACTCTCCATCAATGTCAAACTCCACCTTGAGGAACTGCTCAAAGTCCGGTGCTTGTTGTATAGCCGTATGGATGTCCATTTGTTGTTCTTCTTGCGTTGCCTCCATGTGCAGCGCCTCAACCCATGTGAGTTGTTGTGAATGAAGTTGTCCATCACTTCGGAGTCTCTTTGGTTCTGGTTCGTAGTCGTTGACTGCTGTCGACGTGGCCGGTCTGGTTGTAGAGGATGCACTTGTGGTGGGTTGTCCGTTCCCGATTTCGGGGACGTCCTCTTCCATTTCTTCATGGCGTAGTCGATCTTGTACGGCCTGTGGAACCACATAGTCGCCGGGCTGGAATGTAGTTTTGCGCACTGCTCGTCTTCTCGGCATGAGTGTTGTTGTGGAATCCGGCTGCTGCGGTAGTGGTGGTAGTTCAAGTTCGCCTTCACCAGGTGTTTGTTCAGTGAGGTCCTGGTACTCTCGCGTCGGTACTATGTCGGCCAATGTCTTCCACTTCGTAGGATCCTCGGTCTTGCTGGTCTCAAACTCAAACCGTTCCGTCTCTGTCACTGGCCTGACAGAATGCACCGAGCAACGTAGCAGCTGGCTGCCAACCAATACCCACACGATGTGGCGGCGGTCATCATCCGCCTCCTGGTGTGGTAGAACTTCATGAAACACCACTCTGCCGGGTCCAATCCAATGTGGCCTTCCTGACTTCTTGAAGCCACCGCGTGGCCCCTTGTGTTGTTCCTGTGGCCAGACCTTTCGCCAAACCTTCACCAAGTCCATGGGGTTGTAGGTCCGCAAGGGCTGCCTCACGGTTGTGTTTGCGAGTCTGGACAGGACTCGCTTGCCCCGACTTGCCTTGGCGATCTCCTCGGCCTTGAGCCGCGCAGTGATGAGCTTCGTGAACTCGATGCGAGGCTCCACCGTCTCGTAGGTCCTGATGTCCTCATCCGTTACGCAGTACTCTGAACCGAATGCCCATTGATTGGCTGAGAAGCCAGCTGTGGTTTCCGTAGCATTCAAGGCAGACGCCGTCAGCTGCAAGGTCACCACAGGATCTTGAGACAGGTCCTCCAAGTATATGGCTGAGGCCGTGTGTTTGATGTCCTGCATGGAGGCCTCAATGACTCCATGGGCCCAGCTCTCTTTCTCAGCCACGTAGTGGGGGACCACATTGATGTCGCTCAGGAAGTCATGCACCAGTTCGGACGTGAAGCTCTTAGCCGAATCTAGCAGCAGGTACTTTGGTTTTGGGAACATTCCAAGCCATCGCTCAGACAGGGCTCGGATGAAGTCCTGTCCGGACTCCGCTCTCATCTCAAGGAAGCCGTAGGTGAACAAGGGATGGATCACTCGAAGCTTCGTGGCAACGTCCATGAAGACCAGAAACTTCACCTTCACCTTGGATTT